CCCTTTCCCCCTACCAGGTGAAGCCATTGCTCCAAGTCACTCGCCAAGAAGAAGAAATGCAGGCCAAGGATGAAGAACTGCAGAGAACTAAGGAAAGACAACAAAAAGCAGAGAGTGAATTGAAGGAGCTGGAACAGAAACACAGCCAGGTGATGTGCAGTGCTGGGTTTCCAGGAAATGATAATCACTTTTTCTTCTTTTTAGAAGAATTAAAATAAAGGTGTTTCTTTTAATTCTCACCTCTATTCATGGCAATGGACCCAAATGAAAGTTTGGTGTAGGTAAATTCCCAGGTATTTCAGGGAAGGCCTAACTTGCACGCACAAGACGCACTGTACAGCCACAACTTGAACACTAGAATTACCTATTGAAAACACACCATGGGCCATATACAGCCTAAATTTTAACTTCCTACCTGTTTTATCTGTGTAGCTTTGTGAAGAGAAGAACCTCCTTCAAGAGCAGCTTCAGGCAGAAACTGAACTGTATGCTGAAGCTGAAGAGATGAGAGTCCGTTTAGCTGCTAAGAAACAAGAGCTAGAAGAGATTCTGCATGAAATGGAAGCCAGAATTGAGGAAGAGGAAGAACGCAGCCAACAGCTGCAAGCAGAAAAGAAAAAGATGCAACAACAAATGCTGGTAAGCAGGCAGAAGCCATGAATACAGGCAATAAGCAGTAGATAAAAAAAAAAATCAAAGATTGGCAAACTTCGAATCCCATGAAAATGCTTGCTGTACAACACTGTAGAGAATGTTAATCCCACTGAAGAATGATCAATAGAGTTTCTTTCCTCCATTCAGTTCTTTATAAACATTCTTCCTCTCTCTCAATTTAAATCTTTTTTTTTTTTTCTAGAGAACTATTTTAACAAACTTTTCCTTTTAAATCACCTAGACTAGTACAGGTCATCTATTAACTGGTTAAGAAAAAAAGAGCTTGCAAGATACCCAACTCGAACTGACACATATTAACATTTCCTAGAGTCCAAGTAGTGTCTTATTTCCAGAATTCATGTTCAGTGTGTTTGTTTCTTTCTGCAAAGGACCTTGAAGAACAGCTGGAAGAAGAAGAAGCTGCAAGGCAAAAACTGCAACTTGAAAAAGTAACAGCAGATGGAAAGATAAAGAAAATGGAAGATGATATTCTCATAATGGAAGATCAGAATAACAAACTAACCAAGGTGAGTGCTGTGGGTCTAGCTTTGAGATCTGTTGTGGAGACAGTATCTTCAAAAAATTTCCCCACAGCAGTCAAGCACAATCAGTGGAGAACATGTCTTTTTGGCCCCTAGAAGACTGAATCATTCTCTTGACACATAGAAGTGTTTTTCTTTTTTTTTTTTTTTCTTTTTTTTTCTTTTTTTTGATAAGGTACTTATCATTTTCTGGCTCCCACTTAAATGCTCCTACTACTGCTTGATACAATTTCCATATGTCTTCGCCAGGTAAAAAGTGCTAGTGACTGGCTTCTACCTGGTAAGAGTGGCTCATGCAATCCTCCAACATTGTATTGTTCATAGGGTTCTCTATACACTTTCAGGCAGATGCCAAACACTAATGTCAACCAAACCTCCTGTATAAAATTGAAAGTAAGCATGTATTTGAGTACTTTTTGAAAGGAAATGTTCTGAACTGGGTCCTGTAATTACAGGCTATTGTAGAGTTGAGTGAGTCCAAATTCTAACAGCAACAGATTTGAGAATATGGAAGTACTAGAAACCAGTTTTCATCACTTCTGATATTGGCAGATTGGAATGTGTCACTAAAATTTCAGTATATACAGCATTAAAAAGACAGTATTTTGGTTGGTTTTATGTTCACCAACAAGAGACACTTTGGATAATAAAAGTATTTTGTTTTTCTTTAGGAAAGAAAACTCCTTGAGGAAAGAGTAAGTGATCTAACAACAAATCTTGCAGAAGAAGAAGAAAAAGCCAAAAATCTTACGAAGCTGAAAAATAAACATGAATCTATGATTTCAGAACTGGAAGGTAACACAAATAAGTGTTTTACTGTGTGTATCAGTTATTATTTGACAGTTACTTAAAAAAAAAAAAGAAAAAACAACAGAATCTGGAGAGAAGTTTTCCATTTTTTGTGGTCTCCCAGATTTCGTATGTTGAAGCAATTTTATTTGAAAACAAGACACATGAATGAGATTACCAAAATCGTAGAGTCAGAACAATGCATATTCTATAGATACCTACTTTTCTCACATAGAAAAGGAAAGGAGAGAAAGTTAGGAAAAGTTAGTGCTTTTTCTGAAAAAAAGAAAAATATTTAATTTTTCTGGGGTGGCTGGAAGTAAGTGAGGACAGCAAGGTCCTGCTTGTTTCTTCAGAAACAGTGATTTGTAGTGAAACATCTGGCCTCACCACAGACCAAAGCACTCGTGTCTAAATTCAGTATTACAGAAAGGACTCCTTGTGCTATCTCACTCCCATGACCAAAATCTTTATTTTTTTCAGTGAGACTAAAGAAAGAAGAGAAGAGCAGACAAGAACTGGAGAAATTGAAAAGGAAATTGGAAGGGGACTCGAGTGATCTGCATGAGCAAATCGCAGACCTCCAGGCGCAGATTGCTGAGCTGAAGATGCAGCTGGCCAAGAAGGAGGAAGAGCTGCAAGCTGCTCTAGCCAGGTAGCTGTTCACTCTGTATCTGCAGGCACACTGAAATTCTCTAGCTGGAGAACCTCTCCCTTCCCAGGTGCAAGGATGCTGCTGCTCTGAATCTCATCTCTCAGTTACATCCTCTCTGCATGCTTCCCCTACCTCCAAGCCTCCATTGCTAACAAAAATGACATTACCTCACAGACATAGCTAAAATGCCCTACAGATAACAGTGAAAAGTTTTGTTTTCAATGGCCTTGGCAGTGCTGCCAAGTAAAGAATAGATAGGGCAACATCACAGTTGACAGGTTTTACCTTTGGGACAGAAATTACTTAGTGCGACCCTGATCCACTCCAGTCACTGTGAATTTTTTCTGTACAGACTTAGTGGGAAAACGGTCATCCAAAGCTTTTGCTGTATGAGCCAATTTACCATCTCCAGTTATTGTGTCCTAATAAAAGTCCAGCTCTTAGGTCCCTTTTGCCTCTGTTCCCCTACTCCTTTGGCATTTTCTTGCACTGGGAGCCAGCATCTTACATATGAAACAACTAATGTAGCCTACAATTCTCTTAATACTATATAACATATAGGAGGGGAAAACTTCAGTTTTTCTGTTCATTGTTTAGGACAATCTGCACAATGAGCTGAACCTACACTTTTAAGGTAGGTACATGCAGATCTAGTGCGGGACTTCCAAAACTTTCTTACATACCTTTCTATTCACAAATTACCAATTACCATTAAGTACCACTTAGAAGTCTAGAATACTGAAGCACTAAATATATATAGTTCAAGCACACAGCATCACAAGCCATCTTGAATACAAGCAGATACATCATTAGATAGATTAACCATGTTTCTTATCAAAGTGATAACATAAAACTAATATACTTCCATTTTGCTAAAATTAAAATTACACCTTGGGTATAAATCTTCAATTTCTGAAAGATTTTCTAAATTCAGATTTTTTTACTATATAAAATGAAATAATTTTCTTTCAGGCTTGAAGATGAAACTAGTCATAAAAACAACGCCCTCAAGAAGATCCGTGAGTTGGAAGCTCATATCTCTGATCTCCAGGAAGACTTGGAGTCTGAGAGAGCTGCAAGAAACAAAGCAGAAAAACAGAAGAGAGACCTTGGTGAAGAGCTGGAGGCTCTTAAGACAGAGCTTGAAGATACTTTGGATACCACAGCCACTCAGCAAGAGCTCAGGTATGGACACCTAGCATGTAGGCCAAAAATAAACATCACCGAGCTCTATGCAGTACTGTCTAGTGATTCATATGGAGCAAAGAAGATATATTTGTGCATTTGAAAGTGAGAAGTAAGCAAGGTAGGTGGGAAGGTTGTTTCTCTACACTGACAGCGATGGTCTCCAAGATCTAGACGTTTAGGTCTGGACTTAGTCCATTTAGGTTATCTAGATTATTTTTCTGAAGCCAAGTGTTTTCAGTCATAACACTACCTATCTAAGGCACATAAGTAATTCAGTCTTGTACTTATTTAGGTAATAGTTCTAAATCTTTTTTTTCCTAGGATCAGAACTTAGCATTCCAACTCACATTGCTTTCAGCTGTGTTGAAGCATGTAGCTTTCCAACTCCAAAATCTCCAAAAATCCAACATAAAAACTGAATAGGAACTTTGGCAGCTGCAGTAACTTTGTACAGCTGCGCAGTAGTGCTATTTTCCTTGTGACTGGAAAACTCCTACCTGCTGCTGTTCCATTTATATGTGTTACCTTCCAGGGCAAAGCGTGAACAGGAGGTCACAGTGCTGAAGAGAGCTCTGGAGGAGGAGACTCGAACTCATGAAGCCCAGGTCCAGGAGATGAGGCAAAAACACACTCAAGCTGTAGAAGAGCTAACAGAGCAGCTGGAACAATTTAAACGGGTAAATAGTAACCCACCTGATTGAAAACTGTTCACTGAATAATATGACTTCCTTCTATAGATCACTTTTCTTCACTTAATGCTTTTAGGCTAAAGCAAACTTGGATAAGACCAAACAGACATTGGAGAAAGACAATGCTGAATTGGCTCATGAAATCAGGAGCCTGAGTCAGGTCAAACAAGAGGTGGAGCACAAAAAGAAGAAGCTGGAAGTACAGCTGCAAGAATTACAGTCCAAATATACTGATGGAGAGCGTGTTCGGACAGAACTCAACGAAAAAGTTCATAAATTACAGGTAAGAGGGAGTGTGACCTTTCACATTGACACTGGGGTTTTGAGAAGACCAGGTAAACTCTACTCTATCAGGACATATCTGGAAAAAAATCCCTGGCTCTGCTGACTTCAGATGGAATATTCCCTTTTTTGGCAGCTGTAGGGTTCCCACATTGAATTCTTACTGTATCACACCATGAAATGATTATAACCACACACTGTCTCATGGTAGCAAAAGCTTTAAGCTACACAGTCCCTTTATATATGCTATGGCCTGTAATGACATCCACAATGAACAGATCATTGTGGTCTGGTGGTCTCTTCAGTGACTGTATTGCATATTTTGCAGAGATTTGTTTTTTTGGGGTTTTTTTTTTTGTTTTTTTTTTTTTGCTTGAGGTAACCCAGAAGCATAGGAGCAGATTCAGATACTGGCTGAAGTTGGGATTTCAGCCTAGAGCTAACTGAAGTTGGAGGAAGGTACTGAAATCATTCAAAAATAAAAATGAATGTATTCACTGTCCTCTCTCATAGATTGAGGTTGAAAACGTTACTGGTTTGCTCAACGAAGCAGAAAGCAAGACAATCAAATTGACCAAAGATGTTGCAACCTTAGGATCCCAGCTACAAGACACACAGGTAAACTTGCATCCAGTACAGCTCACCTGTAGAATATATATAAAATGCTCTACAAAAAGACCTAAACTAATGACCGGTTGATATGGTGACTGTAGGAGCTGCTTCAGGAAGAAACACGGCAGAAGCTAAATGTGTCTACCAAGCTTCGTCAGTTGGAGGATGAGAAGAACAGCTTGCAGGAGCAGTTGGATGAAGAAGTAGAAGCAAAACAAAATCTGGAGAGACATATTTCAACACTGACAATACAGGTATCAGTGCCATAGCTAAATCACTAGCTGCATCTCTGAGGTATTGCCAGTAATTCCAGAGGTTTCAGATCTGTAGAAGTATCCTCACATAGCAGGGGGACCTTCAGGGAACTAGTAGTTAGCCCAGATGGCATCTGTGAAGCACTACAGAAGAGGCAGCAGTCTGCTTTACAGTGTGATCTCTAAGATAGACTCAAATGCAAGGCAGGTATAAATGCAAAATATATTCCAACGTGGTCTTGCACACAAGGCCTGTTTGGGCCTATTAGTCCTGTAGTATGTCTCATTTTATGGAGGATGGGTGATTGGTAACTGCTGTTGACTTCGCGTGGATCAAATTAAATAAGATTTTCAGGTCATAGATGTCTTAGGGTCACCTTCTATGCTAAGCTTTACTGTCTCTGCTGTAAGATTCATTTCATTCTCTGAATTCAAATTTCAGCTGTCTGACTCTAAGAAGAAACTACAAGAATTTGTAATCACAGTAGAAACATTGGAAGAAGGTAAAAAGAAATTCCAGAAGGAAATTGAGGGTCTCACACAACAGTATGAGGAAAAGGCTGCTTCTTACGACAAACTGGAAAAAACAAAGAACAGACTCCAGCAGGAGCTGGATGACCTGGTGGTGGACTTGGACAACCAGCGTCAGCTGGTCTCTAATCTGGAGAAGAAGCAGAAGAAATTTGATCAGGTATGAACTTAAGGTTAATTCCCTTGCTATCTTATCACTTAACTTCCTTGGAAGTTACAGAGACTCACTGCTTTAGTACAAGATAAAACAGGATCAGAAAATAAATTAGAAATGAATTACTCATGAAACAGATAATTTTCTATTCATATACATTTATGAAAATACACTTTTTTCCTGTCATTAACAACTGGCAAGACAGTCGCAACAGGAAAATCTTATTGCTAATGACTTTCTGTATCAATTTACCTTTTTACAGATGCTAGCCGAAGAGAAAAACATTTCTTCCAAATACGCAGATGAAAGGGACAGAGCAGAAGCTGAAGCTAGAGAAAAAGAAACAAAGGCTTTGTCATTGGCTCGGGCCCTTGAAGAGGCTTTGGAAGCCAAAGAAGAACTGGAGAGAACGAACAAAATGTTGAAAGCTGAAATGGAAGATCTTGTTAGCTCCAAAGATGATGTTGGCAAGAATGTAAGTTTCTAGTGCAGAACCATTTCCACAGTAAAAAGTTAAAATAACATTTAAAGAAGAAATCATTGATTTTAGCACAAAAAGTTCTCTGTAGCACACAAATCCATTCAGCAATATCAGTTATTTTCTGCAGAATTTAAAGGTTATCCCACTTGTTTCAAACCTTCAAGAGACCTGGCAAAGTAACTGTAAGCATCTTTATTCTTGACATGACTTCAAGCTTGAATAAGATTCTTACAGATTTCTAAGGCAGAATAGATTCTAAGTCATTTGCCAGTTTATTAGGCAGCTTTGAAGTTGCAAACTCTGCAGATCTAATTTTGCCAATTATATTTGACTGTCCCACAAACCATTCATATGGCTACATGTAGCACCAATCATTCATATAGCTCCAAGAAATTTCCACCACGGCAATCATTTATTTATTTATTTATTTATTACAGTGACATGATAATATTACTTACTAACTGAATTCTTTCATCTACTTGATTAGATTAAAAATGAAAAGTGTGTGACATAAAAGATCTTACAACCTGAGATTCTGTATCTTAGGACAGATGTATAAGTGTACAAAAAATGCTAGCATATCATTTTGGGTGCTCCTGCCTATTAACCCATTCATTATCCACATTCAAATATTGCAGACTATGTTTTAGGTAGATTTTTTTTAATGTTTTATAACAATTCTATTAATTTCTTATTGCCTGAAAGGTCCACGAATTGGAGAAGTCTAAACGTGCCTTTGAACAGCAAGTAGAAGAGATGAAGACGCAATTAGAAGAGCTGGAAGATGAACTACAGGCTACTGAAGATGCTAAACTCAGGTTGGAGGTTAACATGCAAGCCATGAAAGTACAGTTTGAGAGAGACTTACAAGCCAGAGATGAACAGAATGAGGAGAAGAGACGACAACTTCTTAAACAGGTATCACTCCCGTTGTTGTCTCTGTAAATGTCTCATGAAAACAGTTGAAAGTGCCCAGTCTCATGCTGTTACTAAAGCACTTTGCAGTCCTGTATTTTTACAGTGTATATGCAGTGCCCAGATATATACAGAAAGCATTTAAATGTGCTCAATGACTTTCCTAAACTTAGTCATCTTGTTTAATGATCAGCTCCATGAATATGAAACAGAACTGGAAGATGAGAGGAAGCAACGTGCCCTGGCAGCTGCAGCCAAAAAGAAGTTGGAGATTGATGTTAAAGATCTAGAAGGTCAAGCTGATTCTGCTAATAAAGCTCGGGAAGAAGCCATTAAACAACTTCGCAAACTGCAAGTATGTAATTCCACAAATCTTTCTTTCATAATGCCACGATATAAAAGTTAGATGACTTTGATTAAAGGGTCAGTTTTAACTAAATTCCCATAACCAAGTACCTGTGATGCCCAATTTGAGTGTCAGTGAAACACTTAGCAAACCATGCTAATCTTAAACTCCACCCGTGCAGTGAACTTCCAAAAGTACTCATGTGCTACTGACTTACCCACACAAAGGAAAAGATAGATTCTAATGCACAGAAAAGACCATCAGATAAAATTTACTATGGGGCTTCAGTTGTGGTCCTAACACTGATGAAAATGCAGGAAACAGTATTCATAAATAACTGCTATTTCTGAAATAGAACTATTTATACTGTAAGTCTCCATATCAATTGTTTTGTGATATGTTGACAGCTAAGCAATGACAATGGATGTATTCTGAACGCTTATAACCCATGCGTATTTAAATATTCAAATAAAATAGGGATAACAGGCATTACAAAAGCTGTAGCACACAAGTAAAAACATCTCTCGCTTTAGAATAGCATTTCAGACCTTTCTAACATGTCATAGCTGATGGTTAAAGAAAATATCCTCAAAGCCGGCATTATGACTGTGTAAATCGGTATGTATTCTGATCTGCCAAAAGTTATTTTACTGAAGTTGTGATAAAGCCAGGCAAGAATAAATTGTTGTTACTCTTTTCAACTAGGCTCAGATGAAGGATTACCAACGGGAGCTGGATGATGCACGGGCTGCCAGAGAAGAAATATTTGCTACAGCAAGAGAAAATGAAAAGAAAGCCAAGAACCTGGAAGCAGAACTCATTCAGCTTCAAGAGGTAAAGTGGGAAACTTTTAGAGCAATATGAAGCACATGATCTACCGTGAAATACACATCATCTTCAGCAGCAAAACAGAACTTGCATTTTTAAGAACAGAAACAAATATAATAGCTATTATAAGCAGAACAACTACTTCCCATGTCCTCTGTATCTTCCAGTGAAGTTGTGAGAACCACATCTGAGCATTTCCAGATTAAATTGAAAAAGATACCACAAAGAAAGGCACAATCCTCCAGATTTAGGAGGAAATTAACTGTGTAATCCAATATAAATTGTTTTTAATAGCCACAAATTACCCAAGCCTTGTTAATGGTAGGACTCCTAGGTGTATTAAGTGGAAATATTAGTCACTAAAAACAATAAAATAGAAACCAGCTGTGTGTTTTGTTGTGCTTCCTAAGGACTTAGAATATAATAAGAATTATTCTGTTAACCAGACAACCTAGCTTACACTGGTTTTAGAAAGATCCCAGTCTTGCATATCATGCTATGAGTAATTTCATCTGAACTCTATTTACTTTGCTATGCTGTCTTTTCCTCTAGGACCTGGCTGCTGCAGAGAGAGCTCGCAAACAAGCTGATCTGGAGAAAGAAGAGATGGCAGAGGAACTTGCAAGTGCTTCTTCTGGAAGGTAGGAATGGACTGCCTTACCTCAAAGGCTACAATCATGAGGCATTCACCAGCAGTTTTGCCTAGAGAAGGTTCATCCTGTGGCAATGTACCTTAACAAAACAGTAGGCACATGTATGACCTGCAGTTTTGCCTAGAGAAGGTTCATCCTGCGGCAATGTACCTTAACATTAACCTTAACAGTAGGCACATGTATGACCTCTTTCACTGAAATATTTAGTTCTGTTTT